GGCCTGGCAGGTTCCCGCCTGTTAACATCAGTCTATAGGAGGCAACCTGGCCCTCAGACGTGGGGACACACACTCACCTGGAGACTTTGCTGAGTGGGCACTGCTGGCCCCCACGTGATGCTGCCTGCACTTCTCTCTCTCGACCCTGGCCACCGCCAAAGGGGATCAAGCCCCCCGGAGGAGTAGGAACGTACATCTCCTCCACTCCCCACGGTCAAATTCCCCAACCAATTATGTGACACCTAGTGTGATGAGTCTGTCTCTCTGATTTGTCAATTTATCTATATGATGACTTCTATATTATAAAAACCAAATCACATTTGTTTAAACATTTAGTTAATCATATTAAAAAAACAAAACTTCATGAGACTGCAATTGTCCTGGAGGATCTGGAACTTGGAGTTCTAGTAATAGTCAAGAGTGAGCAATGGGCTTGCTAGTCAACTGTCTGAAGATGAACAGAAGGTAGTTTTAGAGCTTAGAAATGAGGTGTTAACTCTGGTACTGACTAAGAGAGTTGGGGTTGTTTAAGGACCAGAGTACAAGAGCTAGAATCCACCCACTCCTCTTTTTTTCTTCACCCCCTCCTCTTTTATAAGCAATAATGCAGCCTAGTTGTTGAACTGGAAATTAATTTTATACTAATTTGTTCTCAGCTCATTCTTTAATAAGCTTATATTTATGGGTATTTAATTTGAAAGCACATTTGATAAGTAATCTATTAAAAAGTAAATCGACACTGAGAATAAATGAGTTTGAAATTTCAGAGGCTGGTCATTAAGACTATTGTCACCATTTGGTTTTTGATTTTTTAACCAATACTTGGTTTCCTATAGCAGTATTTCACAGTTATCTAAAATGGAGCAAATTATTTAATGTACAGGACCCTCAAAGATGGGTAAGTCAAAAACCAGTGGTGCTCGTTCCCCTAGCTAGCCTAACTGGGTCCCTTCACTTCCTGAGTCATCTCAGCTCCAACATGTCTGCTGGGTTCCCACGGCTGAAATCCCCCCACTCTGGGCAGAGGGGACCAGGCCGCTCTGATGCCCTGGGGCATTACAATCCAGTTACACCTCCCCATGTTTAGAGAATTGTTATCATGACTCCCTTAAGTACCCAAAGCTAGAGTTACCTAGAGAGGGGGAACCATGGAGCCTTTCCAAAGTTACTTCCCATGGAAACCGAAGAGGCAGGCTGGCAGCAAGGGTCCCCCATGGCCTGGCTGGATGACTGGCGGCTGGCTGGCAGTATCCCCCAGCACTGTCCCTCGTGCCCCCTTCCCTGGACCACGTGCCCACTGAAGAGGACACCCTCGCCAGAGGAGACGTGGGGCAGTGAGTCTGCCTCCACGCCTGAATCTCCCAGCCAAGCAGACAAAGCCCCTCCCTGAACTGCCCCCCTCCCCCATTGCCCATGTTTGTGCGTGTGCTTTCCCTCTGTGGGCAATCCCCTCTCCCACCTCTGTCCCTGGCCACCGGGCCACCCCACTCCTCAACGTTGTATGGGGGTCAAAAAGGAGGCCCAGAAAATGTCATTATTTCCAGCTGGTATAGTCAACAACATAAAAAATCCAAGCTATGCTACAAATTGTTAAGCTGATAAGATGGCCCAGCAGGAGTCTCTGATACAAGATCAACTTTAAAAAATAAAAAAGCTTTCCTTTACATTAAAAATAACCGTGTATAAGATGTAATAGATAAAAAGACCCTATTTATGATATCAACAAGCCTATACAATACCTAGACATAAGCCAAGTGAAAACTTTCCAAAGCCGTTCAAAATAAAAACATCTAAAACTAGGCAGAAGGATGTAAAAATGGCCTTATTATGTGGAGAGACATACCGTGTATATGAATAGAAAAACTTTTTATTTGAAGACTACAAATCCTGACTAAAGTGACCTCTACATTCAAATTAGTCGAGCTGAAATCTCAAAGGATTATTGCAGAGCTTAAAATTTGATTCTAAAATTCACCTGAAAGAGAAAATAGGCAATAATACTGTAGAAACTTCTGAAGAAAAAATAGTATCAAAAGAAAACTCACTCTCAACAAGGTTGCCAAGACGAATTGGGGAAAGAATCGTTTTCTAACAAATGGTTCAGGGCACCTGGATAATCCACATGCAGAAGAGTGAAATTGGAGCCCTACTTTAAGCAGATACAAAAATTAATTCAAAGTGAATCAAACATCTAAATGTAAGAGCTAAACCTCTAAAACTCGTAAAACGTAGATGTAAGTCTTTATCACCTTAGGTTAGGTAAGGGTCTCACAGATATGGCACCTAAAGCATCAGCAACCAAATTAAGAAAATAGAGAGCTTGGACCTCATCAAAATGATCAGGCTTTGTGCTACAGAAGACATCAGGAAAGCGAAAAGACAACCCCCAAAATGGGAGAAAACATTTGCGAATCATATCTCTGGTAAGGGTCTAGAATCTAGGGTATATAGAGAACTCTTCCAACTTAACAATAAAAGGACAAAAAAAAACCAACAAAGAATAGGCAAAGGATTTGAACAGACGTCTCTCCAGAAAAGATGCATAAATGGCCAATAAGCATGTGAAAAGATGTTCAACGTCCTACGTTATTAGGAAAATGAAAATCAAAACCACAGTGAGACACTACTTCACATATACTAGGATGGGTGTACTCAACATCATAGACAATAACGAATGTGGGTGAGGGTGTGGACACGTTCATACATTCATCCCATACACTGAGAATGTAAAATGGTTCAGCTGCTTGGGAAAGCTTCGGCAGTACTTCAGGATGTAAACAGAGTCACCATAAGATCCAGCAATCCCACTTACAGATATATAACCATATACCTACCCACAGTGTAAACCCCAGAGAACCAAAAAAATATGTCCACACAAAAACTTGTACATAACTGTTCATGGCAGCATTATTCATAATAGTCTAAAAGTGGAAACAGCCCAAATCCCCAGCAACCGACGAATGGGAAAACAAAATTTGGTATATCCCCACAATGTCATTTTATTCAGCAAAAAAAAAGGAATGAAGTACTAATACTTGCTACAACATGAATGAACCTTGAACACATTCTGCTAAGTAAAGGAAGCCAGACACAAAAGGCCACATTTTGTGTGATTCCACTTAATGTGAAACGCAATGCAATGAACAGAATAGGGAAATCCACCGAGACGGGAAGTAGTTTAGTGGTTGCCAGGCGTGGCCAATGGGAAGTGTCTGCTAACGGGTGTGAGGTTTCCTTTGGGGGTGATGAAAATGTTTTGGAATTAGATGTGATGGCTGTACAACATTATGAATGTACTAACACCCATAATAGTATGCTTTGAAAAGGTGGATGTTATGGTATGTGAATTTAATCACAATCAGAAAAGAGAACTTGCTCTGATATCAAATGTTCCTATAGAATAATAGGAATTAAAACAGTGTGGTGTTGGCTCAGGAATGGACAGATGGAGGTTCGCCTCAGTGGACCAGCATAGAGAACATGGAGAGGGAGCCACAGACATATGTGGGCATTCGATATCTGACAAGGTGACATTTCAAATCAGTCAGAAAAGGAAAATGGTGGTGAAGAACAGCTGTCTCTTAGTTTGTGGAGAAGGTTGGATGCCAACCTCATACCTCCACAAGAATGAATTCCAATTTAGATTAAATAACTAATTCTAAGAACTAATTCTAGGAAATAGAAGCAAATAAGAGAGGACATATGTATAACGTTGAAGAAAGCCATCTTAAGCAATACACAATATGCATAAATTTGTATAAGAATTGGAAACTCTTGTAATAAATACAATAAAAGATATCGTAAGTCAGTTAAGAAGACATTTCTCACATAATTAATATCCTGAATATATAAAGAACTTCCAGAATCAATAAGAAAAAGTCAAAATAACAAATGTACTACAGCACTCCCTTCCTGTAATTGCCTTTTCAGATGATTCCAAAATTTTGTCCTCTGTTCAGTGACAAAGAGATCATCTTGGCCCCTTTTTCATGATGTGGGATTTCCCTGGCCACTCAATCCCATCCGGCCCTCTTTCTTAGCAAAGTCAAGGTGGTCTTTGGAATGTTGTCCCTGTCAGACAGGACAGCTGGACACCCTGCCCTGCCCTGGAAAAAGTGATTAACTGTGGTCCTGATTGAAGGAGCTGTGTGCTGAGGCTGAAACCCCAGCGTCCACTTCTCCTGTCCCTTAGAAGACGCAGCCCTTCGCCTCGGGGCCGCACGCCGCTGGCATTCAGAGGCCTTGAATGAGGAATGAGCACTAAGTGCATTTAGTGTTTCTTGCCGGCCAGCCACTTAACTGGGGCTGCGACATAACATTTGTTCAACAATAAAATTAACCTTGATTCCGGACAGCTATCTATCTTCACTGAGGACGTGTCCGTGCCGTGGTTTCTTTTTGCAAGTGACATTATTAAAGAAATGGAATATTGCAGGCATGTCGCCCAACGACTTCGGTCTTAGAAAACCTTCCTATTTTTCTCTCCTGCTAAGAGTCTTTCTGCTCTCAATTGGGCAGTTCATCGAGGTACCCGCTATCTCTCCTCACCCCCTTCTTCTCGTAGCCTTTTCTGTTTTCATAAGCCATAGATTTGGCCTCATTTTATTGCATTTCACAGTGTGCTTAATTACCCCACACAGTTCCTCATCTCATTACAAAAGACAATTTGTAATGCGGAAAATGGCAATGTGATTTGTTCAGCTGCTGGAGTTTGTAAAACCTTCCGCATCAGGGCTTTCCTGAAGGATGTCAGAGAGACGAGAATGGAACCGGGATGCGATTAGAAACCCTGTTGATAATCTCTAAGTAAATCAGATATTCCTGCCATAGATCCTGGCTGGGTCACGTGGGGCTGGCATGAAACATTAAGACCGCTGGCTGGTTCAATATTTTATGCGAAAGGAAATTCTGTAGCTGAAAACAAGATGATTGGAGGCCATTGGTTTATTGTGAGTGGGCAAGAAGACAGCATGACTGAACCGACTTTCTCCTCCTTTCAGGGTCACTGTTACTACCATGGACACGTGCAGGGCTATTCTGGTTCCACGGTCAGTCTCAGCACTTGTTCTGGTCTCAGGTAAGTGACCTTGACAGTGGCAGCTCTGGCCTTAAGCACAGCTACCGCAGACCACCCCCTTCTCCAACCGCTCTAAAGCACTAGAGTGACGGACCTCGCCCCTGCCTGGCAGAACCGAGGAGCCCTTGCCCGGCAACGTGGAGGGCACCGCAGCCCCCCACTCCCATCTCAGCTCGCCTTCCTTCGCCGCTCCTCTTTCAAGGCTGTTCTCAGGCCTTGTAGGTTGGCTGGGTTTCAGCAGCCAAGGATTTGGGGAATATCTTTTGTTTTTGTGGCTTGATGCCAAACAACTCCCAGTGTTAAAAAAAATAGGACATTAGGTATTAGCATTTCAGCTGCTTGCTTAATAAAAATGAAAAGGGCCTCTTCTCACTAGGACACAAAGTGAGGGGCTGACTGAGCACAGATCCAGGTGAGCTGAATACGGGCCTGGGTGGCAGGGGCCCCTGCCCGATGCAGGAAACAATCCCTTCTGCTGCCGAGGACAAGCCAGCCCTGCCTTCCAGTCGCAGCAACCGGCCCCGGCGGGCTCTGTGGGCTCCCCAGGCAGACCAGTCTGTTGACAGATTCCCAGCTGCCTCAGCCTCTTGACTGGGTTTATCTATCTAGTTTGTGAACTAGCAGCTTGTGTCCTCAAAGTCCTGCTTTGCTTTGGCCGCTGCCACCAGAGTGCAGGTCTGCGGAGGGAAGGACGGAGGGCCCGGGACAGCGGCGGCCCAGGGAACGCGGGACTGTGCACCGAGGTTCCTTCTCCGCCATGGCATGCAGTACTCGCAGACCCACGGCGCACAGTCCCGCGTTCCCTGGGCCGCCGCTGTCCCGGGCCCTCCGTCCTTCCCTCCGCAGACACACAATATACCACATACACCACATTCACACCACAGACACACACACAATATACCACACACACCACACACACACCACACACACACAATATACCACACACACAACATACACACCACACACACAATATACCACACACACACACAACACCACACACACACAATATACCACACACACAACACACACACCACACACAATATACCACACACACCACATACACACCACAGACACATACATAATATGCCACACACACCACACACACGCAATATACCACACACACCACACACAAAACATACACACCACAGACACACAATATACCACACACACCACACACACAACATACACACCACACACACAATATACACATCACACACACAACATACCACACACACCACACACAACATACACACCACACACAATATACCACACACACACAACATACACACCACACACACATACACAATATACCACACACACCACACAATATACTACACATACCACACATACACACCTTAGCACACACGTACCACACATTATATACCACACACCACAACACACACAGTACAAGCACCACAGACACCCTGTAACACACACACAATTTATCGCACACAACATACCACACATATCAACACAACACACACACAACATGCCACACACAACATACGCCAGGCACACAATGCACCTTGGACAACTCAGCACACTTAACACACTAAACACAACGGGAGCGAAGTGGAGATCAGGGGCCCTGGTCGGGGTTTAGCGACTGTGGATGGAGACGGATGCCCCGCGCAGGGGAGCGGAGGCGGCGCTCTTGGCAGCCTCGCCTCCTGTGAGTCCTGCCGCGCTGTGAGCGTTTACAGGTACTCTTGAATTAATGAGTAATCGCATTGGCGGCTCTTACGGACAGACAGTACAGCCGCTAGTGGACGGAATTCTCCAGAATAACAGCACCTGAGTCTGGCCGCGGCCTGGTCAGCACGCGCAGCCCTGGGCCCGGCTGGCGGCTGGACCGGCCTGAGGGAGGGTGCAGCCGGGCCTCCGGCTGCACATCCCCATGCCCGTCCTTTCCTGGGGCGTCCCTGCCCCACGTGCACACCACACACACAACCCCCCGCCGACCCCCAACACGTGTCCCCCCGGCCGCTGCTGTTCTTCGTGGCGTGGGCCACCTGCGCGCCTTACATGTACGTGAAGGAGGGCAGCGCCGTGTGCCCTGCGGTCGGCGTCTGCACTCAGCATCGTTTGGGCGTCATCCTTCCTGGCGCGTGAGGGGCGGCCTCTTCCCTCACCACGCACTTACTTCCGTTCCACAGACACCCGCGCTTCCTCTCGTTTTCTCCGCCATGTGCATTTAGGTGGTTTCCAGTCTCTCTCAGCTGCCAATGACCGGCCCGGCAGGCCTCAGGCTCCGTGACCCGGGCGTGGCTCCAATGGAGGCGCCTGAAGGAGGGAAGGGTGTGACCTGCCCAGTCCTGCCGCCGTGTCCTGCCAGCGTGCCCGCCCGGTTTCCACTCTGACCATCAGAGGACGGGGGTTCTGTTTCCTCACGTCCCCCCCAGTCCTTGAGATACCGGATCCATTTTTAAGTATTTACCATTGGAATCTAACAGTCTGTTCAGAACTGGCTCCCCTGCCCCTTCGCCCGCTCCAGTCCCACACAGGGAAACCACAGCAGCAAACGTGGACTGGGGCGAGGAGGTGATGGGAACATTCAGGAACGCGTCAGGGGGAGGGCAGTTCGAGGGGGACCATGAGTCTCCAGGGCACAGTGGGAAGGTTTGAGGGGCAGAGGGAGGAGGGTGGGATCAGTTAGAGGACTGAAGGGCTGTGTGGGACTAAGGGCCCAGCTCTCCTGGAAAACCAGGCACAGGCACCTGGAGGACACAGAGATGAAGGACAGGGTGGGGTCAGCCCTGCTGGCATCTGGGCCAAGGTGACAGACCAATTGGAGGTAGGCCCTCTGGGATCATCAGATAGACGTCCATGTCCCGGAGCACAATAGCCCAAGCAGTGACCCGTCACTGGGCCTCTCTGAGCGCCAGTTGCCTTGTATTTAAAATGGAGATAAAGACTCTAGCCGAGACTGGTGGTTGTGAAAATAAGTACAATGACCCATAGGAAAGCCCAGCCCTGTGCCTGACCTTGAGTGAGCAGCCAATGGAAGAACCATCAGCCACCTGAGACGGTCTTAACATTCTTTGATTCTGGGACTGGGCCAGTCAGGGAGGTGTGAACATGCCGTGCTTCTGGGTTAATTCCATGCAGAGCTACACTGCTCCTACGAGAGCCAGGTGGAGCACACAGGACCACACACACCTGAGAATTACAGTCACCCCTCTCCTGTGTGGTGTCCAATACACCTGAAAGTAGAGTCTCTAACACATGCATGGGAAGTCAGAACTTTACTGTCACACCTCTCTGGAACCTAAAAGATGGACCTGTGTTGAAGGCTAGATATTTCCAACCTTCAAATTAACATAGAGGTCACTGTGTGCAAAGAACATAAAAGCTAATTCAAACTGGCTTAAAGACCAAGCATAGAGGTAGATTCATGCTATCGAAAAGTCCAGAGATGGCTTCAGGTATGACTGGTTACAGGGCCTAACTGATGTTATCAGAATCCATTCTCTGTCCATCTTTGGCCCCTACCTTCTTCTGTGTTGATTTCATTCTCAGGCACTGTTTATTTTTGCGGTGACAGAGGGTCTTCAGGCAGCTCCAGACTTATATCCTCAGAGGGCAAGTAGAAGAAAGGACCCTTCTTTTAAGCTCAGCAAAAGTCCTCAAAATGCAACTTATTGTCCTTCATTGGGTCGTGGGCCCCTCCCTGAAACAATCAGGCTCTAGGCGGGCGGGCTTCAGTAGTTGTGGCACGTGGGCTCAGTAGTTGTGACTTGCGGGCTCTAGAGTGCAGGCTCAGTAGTTGTGGCACACGGGCTCAGTTGCTCCACGGTATGTGGGATCTTCCCGGACCAGGGCTCGAACCCGTGTCCCCTGCATTGGCAGGCGGACTCCCAGCCACTGTGCCACCAGGGAAGTGGTGGGTGGGATGCTCTAATTTAACAGGTTATGTGCCCAACCCCTGGGCCAGGCTGAGTGTGAACCACACCCAGCCTCAGGGGCTGGTGCGGGTTGGGGAGAAGGGTGGGTACATGAAGGAAAACCAGAAAAAGGACAGATGAGCGCCAGGGACACACAGAAACTACAGGCCAACTCCAACAACAGCTTCCACATGTTTGTGAAAACTCTAAGCTAGCGAAACTGAGACCAGGCGTAAGTGGAGACGTCCGGGTTGGTCTGTTAACTTTCAGGTGGTTTTCATAGGGCATCAAACCCTTGATGGATAAAGAGATGAGGGTGTCTTCAAGGGAATTCCTAATAGCTCCTATTTACACTAAATAAAACAATCTGCAAACCAGTGACATTAACTAATTAGTTTTAAATTATGAAGATGAACGACTGGGTAGAGTATTCCTGAGTAACATTTAAATAGGACAGATCTGCCCCCTGTGCTTGGCCTTGCCACTTGCTCTCTACTCCCTGTCCTTCATCCCAGGCCTGTCCCCCAAAGGCACAGGTAACTGGCAGGGTCCCCGGTTTCTCCCTCACAGAGGGGTCCATCTCTCTGACCAGGTTCTGCAGAGCGTCTGAGTCTCAGGACCACCTCCTGTCTCCGGCACCTGGAGAATGTCCACCCGCCCCACCCCAGGTATCTGGCACAGAGCACAACTTGGCAAAGAGGAATACTGTGAAATACTTATGGCTGGGGTTCCAGGAAGAGTCAGGGGAGCGAGTGCTGCGTCGTCTGGTGTCGACCACCAAGACGGGGTGAGAACACTGACGGAGCAAGCTGCTGCGTGGGGATGGAGCTCCTGAGAATTTTAATTTCCCAGATCTTTGTGCTGTTGTTACAAAAGCAGCAGACCGTGCATCAACAGAGAAATTCCGGAGTTATGTAGTCAACTTCATGATCTTGCGAGGAGAGAATCAGACCAGAGACAAAGCTGTGTTCGATCAACTGCTTCCTGGCAAAAGAATCAATCGCGAGGGGAAATAAAAATGCAACTAGAGGAGCACCAGCCTGGTAAATTTTGAGAAAGAATATAGAATTAAAAATTATGTGAAATATGGTGTGACCCCCAAATACATCCAGAGCT